CCACTTGGCTGAGGAAGGCTGGTGGGGTTACGCGACGCGTCTAAAACTGGATGGGCGTCCTGGGTTATCGCCATGTTCCGGCTCGGAGGCGCCTCGTGGTCGTCCCATGCGCTGGTTGGGTTTCCCGCTAGTGGGTGCTCGTGGGCGCCCTGCGAGTTCTGAGTAGGGCGGCCTTCCTGGGGCAAACTGATGCCCGATGCCCCATCAGGTTCGGCGGGGCTAGCCGTGAGGCCTCCGAGAGAAACTGGTACGCCTGGACCTAAGACAGAATAACACAGTTCAGCAACATGAACAGAACATCCAAGGGCACCCTCCCCAGGATGCCCAAGAACATTCAACGAGCACCAAGAACATGAGGGTATCCTCATCGAACCGACCTCGGCGTTGTACCTCGGTCCGACCGTACATCTTATCATGCGCACCTGTCCGAATGACTGGGTATCCGAAGCGACACCTTTGAAGCCCTTCGCTCGTGTTTGCGGGCGTCAACGTCCTGAACACCAGACGCACCTCTCACTCATATCGATCGCGACGTCAGGGTCCAAACAAAGATTGGATGTCGGGCAATCCACATAAAGAGCTTGTACTAAAGGGTTCTCGCCTCGGTTTCTTGAATAATTGCATGGGGTTCACGGGATTTCGCCACGTTCGCGCTCGTGGGCGCCCGAATAGTTTACATCACCTGGATTACAGCACGTAGCGCACACATAACTCAGACAACCTAGCTCGCCGCACACAGCGTACACACAGCTTACACAACCCAGGTTCAGACATGGTTCACACCATTTAGCTCACACACCCTAGCTAACACCGCATCAGTTCACACCGAATAGCCTGCTCCGAATAATCCCACCAGCCCTTTGGGCGTGAGTGGTTTAGAGAGCCCTCTCTGTCCTCAACCCCCCTTCTTCCCCTTCGGGGAGGGGTTTACCCCTCCCCCTACCCCCTCCCCCTGGGCCTGGAGAGGGGGTTCCGCGGGTCGTCAAGGGGGTCAATTTCGACTCCTGGGAGGGCTAAAAAACGACACCCGTCACGAGGATTCTGCCCCCGACGGGGGGGAGCAGAAAAAACCCTCTCCTCTTCTTTGAAGCCAAAATCATTGATTTTACTACGGTTTCGGCCCCATGTTGGCCTTCTAAGGGGGCAGCGCTCCTCTTCCTTCATAGCAAAATCATTGATTTTACGAAGGTTTTGGGCTCATTTTGTCCTTCTCAGGGGGCAGCGCTCATTTGCGCTTCTGAGGAGGTCGCAAGAGGCCCCAAGATGGCCCCAAGAGGCCCCCAGGAGGCTCCCAAGATGCCTCCAAGAGGCCCCCAAGAGGCCCCCAAGAGGCCCCAAGAGGCCCCCAGGAGGCACCCAAGACGCTCCTGGAAGCCCCTGGGGCCGCCAAGAGGCCCCCAAGACGCCCCAAACGGCCTCCAAGAGGCTCCCAAGAGGCCCCAAGAGGCTCCCCCAAGGCACCCAAGACGCTCCTAGAAGCCCCTGGGGCCGGCAAGAGGCCCCCAAGACGCCCCAAAAGGGGACGAGGTGCCCGAACGCCTCACGCCACGAGGAGCCCGAACGACTCACACCAGGACGAGGGGCCCGAACGACTCACACCACGAAGAGCCCGAACGACTCACACAGAAGGAGGGGCCCGAACGACTCACACCAGGACGAGGCGCCCGAACGACTCACACCACGAGGAGCCCGAACGACTCACACCACGACGAGGGCCCCGAACGACTCACACCACGAGGAGCCCGAACGAGTCACACCAGGAGGAGGGGCCCGAACGACTCACACCAGGACGAGGGGCCCGCACAACTCACAACACGAGAAGCCCGAACGACTCACACCAGGACGAAGAGCCCGAACGACTCACACCACGAAGAGCCCCAACGACTCACACCAGGAATAAGGGCCCGAACGACTATCACCAGGACGAGAAACCCCAAGCGACTCAAACCACGAGGAGCGCTTTCTCTCCCTCCTCCTCCGCCTCGTCCTTCTCCCGCTCCCCCCACAAGGAGGATGTACAAGGAGGCGGGAGGAAGGAGGAACAGGGGAGATATGCGGGGCCAAGCGGACACACGCCTGAAAAACTCGACTGTCGGCATGCTTCGCAAGAGTTGCTGTTGTGAGATGGGCTGGTGGGGATACGCGAAGCGTAAAGAATTCTCACCACGTATCTTACACCACATAGCTTGCACCGCACGAGCTGACGCACGGCACAGAACGGTAACGCACAACAGCACAGCACCGTGCAGTACATCATGGCGCAGCAACCCCTGCACCACACTGCACAGCGTGCTACGGTATAGCGCGGCACGGCATTGCATGGCATGGGGATGGCAAGTACTGCACCCCCTCGCGCAGCACAGCATGGCACGCCAAAAGGAACTCATGTGCGAGGCACCAACGCCTCTGGATCGCGAGTGACCGGCCTGACCACATATGGAAAGGTCTTTAGGACCTCCTCCCAATGATGTGTAAAGAATTATTTTCGGGCGGCCTTATTCACGGATCGGTGTTCCACCAAACAGGGGAAACCAATCATTTGTTCCTCGCGGCACCCGCCGCGCGACAACGACGCCGACAGCTACGACTACGGTTGCGACTGCGACTACGGCGACACGACTGCTAGTCACTATGCCTCGGGAGCGCTCTCATGGAGAATCTTGGCTCAGAGACTTGGTTGTCAGAAGCTTTATCCTGAAAGCTCAATCTTGTGAAGGACTGTTGGAGCTCAGGCCCCAGGCGGGCCCTCAGAAACTCCATCCTTAGAAGCTCCATCCTCAGAAACTTTATTATCATAAAGACGGTTGAAGCTCATGCCCCACGAAACCCGCAGAAACTCCACCCTCAGAAGCTCCATCCTCGAAAAGATGGCTGAAGCTCAAGCCCCACGAGGGCCTACAGAAACTCCACTCTCGGAACCTCCATCCTTAGAAGGATCTTTGAAGCTCAGGCCTAACGGAACCCTGGGAAATCACGCTCTCGGGAACTCCATCCACAGAAACCTCATTCCCAGAGATTTAGCTGTACTAATTGTTTCTCGAAGGCACTGATGCTCAAGGCTGAAGTGGCGCTGTCTCACAGCAGCTGCTGCCCTCTAGGTGCCTCACGCAGGCTCGCATGATGGCTCTCACAAACACGACGAGATGAAGGAGGAGATGGCGAGCAGCGCCCTCGGCACAGCATACGTCGATCTATAGCATTCCTCTTGCAAACGTGCTCACAATTCCTCTGTCGCGCAGGGTGTAACCCAGGGGGCATGATTTCCTGTGGGGAAGTTCACCGCTGAGAGAAAGGGGGGGAACCAAAACCAAAAACTCTTCGCGGTTGGTGCCCTTCCACGTCGCAGACAGGGACCCCCAAGGCAGGCCTATTGTGGGGCCATGCTGTTCGAGAGAGGCTGGGGCAAGAGCTGAGATCCGTGAGGATGGACTGCCTTAAGCCACTAAGGCAACGACGGGGACGAAGAGGGCGAGGACCGAGAGAACCAGGAGGGCGAGAAGGCCGGCGAAGGAGAGGGGCAACTACAAGTTAGCAGGAGCGGACGCCCTTACATCCGAATCGGATGTTCCATGTCCCTTGCCCTTGACAAGGGGGAACGACGGGGGGGACTGGCTCAGGGGGGAACACATTGCTTTGGAGCTGGCGGTACATCGCCGATTCGATTGCGATAGGCCCTGGATGGGGAAACTTCGCGTTCCTGCGCGGGCTGGGGCCCCGGGGCCCCGATTGGCGATGACTGTGCGATTTGGGGCCGGTGTTTCCCCCACGGGCTACACCCCTCGCAGTCCCACGCTTGGAGGGTGCCCAAGTGGGGCCGGAGTGGGCGGGGTCGGAGGATCGCACCGCAGCGTAGATGCATCCATGGTGCATTGGCGACGTCGGGATGGCAACAATCGTACTCTGTATGGCGCCGCATCGCCGATGCATCGGCCATTGCGGCAAGATCCTCCGACATCATATGCTCTGACCCCATCTGTCCGAAAAGCTGACCGACGCCCATTTAGCACAAAACCCTTGAATGAAAGAGGCCTGGTGACGCGGGCGCAGGCCTGCAAAAATGGCCGCTGCGTCGCCTTTACGAGAAGCCAACAAAAGGCCACGCGGGCGGTTTCGCTGATTGACCCAGCAGGGTGGGCCGTCCTGCCAGATCCCTACCCCATACCCAGCCTCGAGCTCATCCCTATGTTGTAACGCGATGACGATCTCAGGGATGCGTCCTCAGGACCAGTGGCGACACTTAAGATCGGCATCGAGATAGAAGCTAATGCCAGTCGTAGGGGTCGTGACCTGTTCCAGGCTGGTGAATCCTCGAATGCGGGCGGCACGGGGCCCTGCGACGCCGCACCCACCAGGCATCCACGGCGGATCTGCGCAGCGGCGTATTTGAATCTCCCGTGTCTGTAGGAACAAAACGGTGCGGTGACAGACCGTGCGATGACCTTGAAATGGCAACCCGGAGGATGCCCTCACTGTGCGCGGCCGCAGGCCGCAGGGCGCGCTGAGCGTCTGTGGCCTTGTGTTTCCATCCCTCCCGTCTTCTCCCTCCTTCTTCTCCTCCCCCTCCCCATGCCTCTGCCGAGACCGTACGGTGACCTCGAAATCCCCACATAGACCTCACCGCACGGTCCGTCTCCGCAACGTCTTGGGACCCTGGAGACCCCAGCCGCCCGCGACGTCCTCGGAGAGCGGCCCAGGTCCCAAAACCTTGCGGTCGCCCTGAATCCCCACCGACTCACCACACGGTGTGGCCACCGCACCGTTCAAGGGGGCCCCAAGCTTTTGCCTTACACAAAGCGCGGCTCCGCTGGGGCCGGGTTGTTCCGATGATGCGCTGAGAGCGGTCTCGGACAGAGCAGATCGCACTGCCAAACGGCGATGAGAGGGGGCCAGGTGCCCGCATGAGTCGCTGGGCCGCAGTGCCACCACCCAACGGCTGGGCTAGGGGCCAACGTGTGGCCATGGAGGGCAGGAAAAAACATCACGGATGCGAGGGAGGAAGCTCATCGCTTCTGCGGCGGGTATTCCTGATCAATGAACTCGGTGACCTGTGCGCATGCGTCAATCTGCGCGTTCCTCTGCCCATACGTCCACTTGCCCACGAATTGCCTGCCCGCCAACGGTATGGTCACCCTGGCGCGAATCAGCCTGGGATCCAAGCCGACTTTCCGCCCTCGCTCGTAACTCCAATTCCACACGGGCATGCCGGGCACGGTGTGATTCGCGAAAATCTGCTGTAGTCTGTTCTGCAGCACCATGACCGTCATCTTTCGCTCCAACACCTCGTCCTGCAACCCGCCGTCCTTGACCCAATCAGCCTTGGGCGGAGTGAGCTTAGCTGCCTTCATGGCGTAGTCCTTGTCTGGCTCGAAGGCGTCCTCGCTGCCGGGGGCCCGCAGGTACCAGAGGACCCTCTTGGCCACGTCGTCCTCGGCCGCCTCGAGGTCGTCGCACAGCTGGCCCGAGAACGTGTGGAGAACACCGAGAACGACGACCTCCACCATCGCCAGGCACCCGTCCCCCTCGGCCCTGAAGTTGAACCTGGGCTGCGGCCAGCCCATCTCGTCGCAAAAATCTTTCAGGAGCTCGGTGTGCTCCTGGGGAAAACCAACATGCACCGATACCATTGTACCCCCGACCTCTCCCCAGGTTGCGTTCTGACCAGAATCTCGAAGCGAAGCCCGCCGTGGCAACGAGGGCCTCCTGGGATGCCCAGGAAAGGCGACAACGAGCCAAGTGGCGGTATCGGTACTGGGTGAGCCTTGATGGGCGCCTCTGTGGAATTCCGCGGCCCTATCTTAAACGCCATTTCAACCAGATGTCGTACAAACTTCAACCACCCATCTTCACCCTTTCGCCCAGCTTTCGTCCAAATGTCGACCAAATGCGACGAGATCCGGGCGAAACCCCCACAACCGCAAGGAATTTCGGGACCCTCTGCGGCCCCCACGAAGGACCACACCAGGCATCGGTGTAACCCTTCCCCCTCGGAGCTCCTGCTGCGTGCCCTCGCTCTGCGTGTCCTCCGCTTCGTTCGTTGGCCGCGGGAGCGGCAGGGCCGTTTCTGCACCGTTTCCCGAACAGTCGCCCCTGGAACAAGCGGAAGCGGCAAAGAACAACAGCGACCAGAAAAGGCAAAAGAAACGGCTCCGGGACTGGTGCCAGCACAGGAGCCGTGGCAAAACGACGGCGACGGCACCAGGAGAGAAAACGACACTGGAGCCAGCAAAGAAACGGACCAGCCCCAGACATGCGACGTCCTGATTTGTTCATTACGCGGCCCCCAGAAGCCGCGACCCCTTCCCCAGGGTCGGTTTTGCATCCTGCATCGTTCCTGGAAGGTCCCAGGGCCCGGCGAAGGCCCCAAGAGACCGAGAATGGCGAAAGGCCTCCGCTCTGAATTCTGTACGACGCGAGGATGTCTGGGGCGGAAGCGGCAAAGAAGCGGCCCTGTGTTTGGACACCCGAAATGAGTACGGAAAGAATAGGTACAATGCCCAACAACAAATGTTGTCCCAAACCAACAGCGGCCGCTGTTGGGCAGGCGGCCTTCTGTCTCGAATGGACACAGGCCGCGGCGGCGTGGACAGCGAGTCCTGTCCAGAATGAACAGGAACTGCCGTTGGGCATTGCACCCATTCTTTCCGTACCCACCTCGTGCGTGCAGACTGTGGCTCCCAGGGCCCGCTGGGGGTCCTCCAGCAGCTCCAGGCCCGGGGGCGCGGCCAGGCCTGGAGGCGCACAGAGCAGTGCTCCGGGGGCCGTCCGGGGCAGCAGCCTCGCCCAGCGCGACGCCAGCCGACCATCTCCCCCAGACCGTGGCCGAGGCCCACATTTCGGGCGTGGGGTTCGTTTCGGCGGCGAGCCCTGGGGGGGGGGGAAGGGGGAGGGGGCGGGCCTTCTCAGATGGCTCGGAAGTCCTCCGGCCTTTCGAGAAGTGTTCTCAGCCTCCCCGAAGACGAAGAGAACTTGTCAGAAGGCGCGGGGGCTTCTGAGAAAACCCGCCGCCTTTTGAAAGAGCCTTCTCTTTCTCATTCCCCCCTTGGTTCGCCGCCGATTGTTAGTCTCTTGTGCGGCAGAGTCGTGCCATGCCGACCACGGGTTGGTTCCTGACACCGCCAGGATCGTTCAACCTTGAACGATCGTTCAACATTGAACATCGACCGACTATGAGTCGCTCGCGGCGTTCAACGTTGAATGCTGGCGGCAAGGTCGCCGCTGGTCGACACGACGCGAGCCTACCGAAACATTCATTTGTGGGCGGCCTCCGTCGAGGCTGTGCCTACGTCTTCCTTCAGTCCCGGGCTCGGCATGAGGCCGCCCTGCTTGTGTTGCTGGGAGCAGCCTTCTGCATGTCCCATAGGTGCAGATAGCAGTTGCCCAAGAGTCTCATGTGGTGAGGCCGCGGAGGTCAAAAACATCTTGGGCGCGGTGTCCCAAACGCCCTGGCGTCGCGGAAAAAAGCGACGGAATGTGCTTGCTGGGCGCTTGTCAGCTCCTGGGGCCCTCCATGGGCCCCTGGACTACCAGAGGATGACTCGGGGTGAAAAGCTGGCCGGGAAGGGGTCCAGGCCTGCGGTGGCCCACGTCGGGAAACAAAACCACTCTACGTCGGGGGGTTCCGGGGGTCGGTGCACGTACTGCCTCCCGGCCTGAGGCAGAGGGGGGGGCCATGGGCCACCCACCTTCGCGCCACTGCGCGCCGCGATGCGCGGCCACCCTCGCGCCCTCGCGCCAGCCCCGCAAGCGAGAGGGGCAGCCGCCCTGGCCCAGACCGCGGCGAGAGTACGCGAGAGGTGTCCAGAGCGCGTACTGCGCGGCCCCACGGGTGGCCCAGAAGGGGCGTGCAGCACCGAGCCTCCCCTGGATCGGCACTGCCCCGAGATTTGCCTGGCGCCAGACACATGGCGGCCCCCCGATCTCACGGTGACCTCCCGCTCCACTTCCAGGAATCGACATCCGGTGAAGCCCCTCTGTACCCTGCATCTCTCCGTTTCGCATCTGGTCCCGTCGTCGACAATGCGCGTTCGATGCTGCACAGTGGGCGATCTGGCTCGAAGAACCCCTGGGTGGGGAAATTTTTTTGATTCGCGGCCCGCAAGGAGAAGTCCAGAGGGCGGTGTGACCGAGGCTGGGGCACAGCGACAGATAATTCGCGCGACATCGCGCAGAGTGCACCTGCAGATAATTAAAATAGGGACGACCACGGTTCGACTGGGTGGGGAAACGCGTAGCCTCTCGTTCTTTTCGCTTGAAGTTCGATCCCTTGGACGCCCGAGATGGGGACGGAAACACTGGGCACTGTGCCCAACGATACATGTCGCCCAACACCGAGCAGCCGGTCTTCTGTCTAGAAGGGGCAGCGTCCGCGGCGCCCCCGACAGCGAGCCCTGTTCGAACTGAACAGGAGCTGCTGCTGGTCTTCGTACCCCGTCTTCCCCCACCCCTTTCGTTCGTACCGATATCCAAAACATCTAGGGCGTCCAAGATGGGCCCCGAGCAAGTGGGGTCGGAGGATCGCGACGCATCGGTGACACATCGGCTATGCATCGCCGATGCAGCAGCGATGCATCAGCGACGTCGGCGGTGCATCAGCGACGCCAGCGCGGAGCAAATAAGGCTCCGCATCGAGCCGCATCAGCGATGCATCGGCGATGCGGCGATCATCTAAGACCATCTACTCCGACCCCATCTGGGTGACGAAAGGAAGCGGGTCTTACGCGAGACGAAACAGCAACCTTACGCGGTGTCTTACGCGGGCGGCCAGCGCGAGACGCCATTCTGAAGGCGAGGGCGCTTGCGCGCGACCTCACGCGGTCAGCTCACGCGCGAATGTCGGCGAAGTCGAACCTAGTCGCTATCCTGGGAGGCCTAGTTGGACGCCCGAAATGTGTACGCAGAGAATGGGCACGATGCCCAACAACAAATGTTGTCCCAAGCCGACAGCGGATTTCTGTCTCAGGTTGACAACGACCGCGGCGACGCCGACGGCGAACCCTCTTCAGCAGGAATCAGAACTGCTGTTGGACTGTGTACCCATTCTTTCCGTACCCATTTCGGTTGTACCGATCCTAGTGCCAGAGGTGTCAAATCATCGACGGGAAAGCCCGGCGACGGAGCAGAAACCAGCTGCACGCAGCAGATGTTCTATCCCCCTCCTTTTCGCATTCTCCCCCCCTCGTGAGCCGGAACCGAACCCAGACCTCCCCGCGTCGCGACAGCACTCACAACGCAGGGTACTTGGCCAGCTTCGGCATCGCGCGAGTCCCCAGGACCGCCAGAAGACGACTAGGGATGGAAAGACGATCCAGGGGAAGTGGTCGAGAACTTCGGGGGCCCACGCTGTGAGCAAAAGCTCGCTGCGTCGGGGTCTCGGCATGGTCTGCCGACTCTGGAAACCCTGAGGCCAAAAATGCTGACGTCTCCATCCGCCATCCGTGCTTCCGCTGACGTGTCCACCCAAACACCCTACCTCACTCTGCTTCCGCCGCCATCCGCCACCCGTGTCACTTCAGCTGGTGTCTGCTGAGGGCGAACCTAAAAAAAACCGAGAGCACGCCATCCGCCATCCGTGTTGCTCCAGCCGGTGCCCGTCGAGACGGCAGTCACAACGCACGGTGCTTGGCCAATCTCGGCATCGGGCGGGTCCCGAGGACCGCCAGAAGACGACTGGGGGATGGAGAGGCGATCCGCTCCGCTCGTGCCGAGCCGAAGAAGCCGAGAGCTGGCCACGAGGGAGGAGGAGGAGGAGGAGGAGGAGGAGGAGGAGGAGGAGGAGGAGGAGAATGAGGAGTAGAGGGAGGGAGGAGGAGGAGGAGGAGGAGGAGGAGGAGGAGGAGGAAGAGGAGGAGGAGGAGGAGGAGGACAAGCAGAAGGAGGAGGAGCCGGCCACGGCAGGCGGAGCCGGCCACGGCAGGCGGAGCGATCGGCCGACGCCGCCCCGAGGCCTCTGCGGCAGGGGCACCTCGGCGGCCGGGCCGCACCCCGCGGCCCGGAGCAGGCGGGGCCACGGCAGCGCGCCGCCCGCGGGAGGCGGCGGGCGCTCCCGAGCGCGGCCAGGCGCCGCTGCGAGGCGGCTCGGGACGGCCAGGCCGGACGAGGATCCCGGGAGGGAGCAGAGCGGAGCCCCAGAAGAGGGGGGTGGCCCTGGCTGCTGTTAGCAACGCTGGTGGGTGGTTATGTTCTGCCGTGTTCAGCTCTTCGGCGCCCTGCCCCCCCCCCCAAAAAAAAGTCAGTACCCGCGCGAACGAGAATCCGCCAACCGGATAAACACCTTGCCCCAAACATAGGGAAAAAGGGAAGGTCGATCTTGACATCGGGAAGGAATTCCTCCCCCAACGGAGAAACACTCACCCAAAACAGGGGGAACAAGGGAACGTCGACCTTGACCTCGGGAAGAAATTGTTCTCCCATCATGTAAGGGGGGGAGGCCCAGACATGCTCGCGCCGAGAAGAACTCACCACAGGGGGGGGCCGTTCCGGGCCTTCGGGGGGCCTCTCAGCGGGCCCCTGGACCGTCCAAAGACGGCTCAGGATGAAAAACCAGCCCTGGGGAAAGGGTCGGGACTTCCGGGGACCGCGTATTGAACAAGCCAGGACATCGCATGTCTAGGGGGGGACTTGGTGGTGGTCGCAGGGAGAAGGGTTGCGAATCAGCTCTCACGGCAGGTGTTTCCCCCGCGCCGAAATGCGCCTAGCGTGTCGAGTGAAGGCGCGGAGTGCGCCCGGCGTCGGGGTCGGCACCACCTGCATGCTATGCTGCAGATTGCATGCTGCAGATTTGTTACACCCCCCCTACTCCCTACAGTGGGCACGTCAGATGAGAAACTGGCCCGGGGGGTGATGCTGTGGACACGCTCGAAAAGGAATTCTGCCACAAGAGATCCAGGGGGACGCTTGTCGTCGATCTGTGGGCTTCCCTGGGGCTTCTGTCGGATTCCGTCGGTCTCCACAAGCCGTCGAGGGATGGTCGACTTCCGCGGGCCACCTGCTGGCAGGCCAGCTTCTCCTCTGACGTACCTCGGGAGACAGGGGGCGATAGGACATCTGCTGCACAAAGCTGGCGTCGGCCCCGCCGCCTGGCGCACTCCGCGCCTTTCCTCGGCACCCTGGCGCCTCTTGGTGGCGGGAAAATGCGGCCGCGCGAACTGATTCGCCAACGCCCTCGCCCTACTTGGATCACCGCGGGGTTTGCTAAGAGGACAGGAGGTTGCAAGTGGATGCCAAGGTGGGTAAGATCTGGCCTGGTTCAGCTCATAAGTGGGCTGCAACTGCCCTCAGTGGCTTAATGGCGTACCGATCCGGGCTAAGGTGGCGGAGCCCAATTATATAGCGGAGTTATCTATTCACCCTAAACCATTCAGGGCACTAGTAACCCACTTCAAAGCTAGGCTAGGCCAGCTACAACCCACCTCAGCATCCATTTCTGACCGTCTTGTCCCCTTGACAACCCCGGCGGCGATCCACATACTGCGATCGGTCACTGTGGCATAGCGTGTCACCGCGGCGTCGGGGATTTTTGCAAAGCGTGTCACCGCGGCGGCCCCACCGACACGCAATCCTTTAAGCTTAAATGCTGATAGCGTATTGCTGCGCTCCGCGGGGCGGGAGGCTCCGAAAAGCTCGAGACGATGACGCGGGGGGGCCGGGGGGAAGTGGACAGCGTGTCGCGCCGAGGCGCGGTGGGCCAGAACCGGCGGAGCGACGCGCTCTCTGAAACCTCCCGGCGAATCCGGCGGTGGCGACGAGGGCCTCCCAGGAGGCCCCACAAGGGGAAAACGTGGCACGGCTTGCAGTACGGCTTGCAGTTCTCCTCCTCCGCAGTTCGTCCGGCCCGAGATGGGCACGCTGAGCACCACGTCCCCCGGGGCCGTCGCCACGTACCAGGGCTGGTCGTCCCGCAGCTCCACCACGGCCGCCATGGGCGAGCGGCTCTCCGCCTCGCCCTCCACCCTCGGGGCGTACAGCCCCAGGGCCCGCTCGGCAGCGTCGCGCTGTGCAGCCTCTGCTTGCGTGATACGCGGCGCGAAAGTCCGCGGGCGCCAAATGGTCCAAGACAGTCAGACGCCGGCCAGCAGGCGGTGGGGTGCACCGGAAGCAAAACGTGAAGTGAGCGTGAGGGATGAGACCGCTCAGACCATGAAAGCCAAAACAAGCAAAAACATGAACGACGAAACGAAACGGATGGAGGTGGCATCGTCCCCCTCTTTTGAGCAGGGACCGGCCGCCCCGGCATTCCTACAGACCTGCCACGAAAGTTTCTAAAATTAAAAGAATGGGTGAACAACAAAACCACAATTCTTAGAACATAGAGACGATGTGAGCAACAACCAGGACGGTCTCAGCCAGACATGTTGTCAGAACATCTCGCGCAAACCACAAAAGGTTCAGACGAGTACTTGGTGGGACTGAGGCGAGCCGGGACGCTTCTCCACTGCTTGACGCTTGACAACCCCCGAATTTTCTCATCCCGGGCCGCTCTTGGGACGGAGCCCGGAGACGGCCCCCAGACGCCGCAAACTGCGACGACACCTCAGGCGCGATGGCCTCGAACCGACGGAGGCCTGGCTCTCCAGAGGCGCAGGGCCCGTCGGCGGCCTCCGCGCAGGCCTCCGGAAGACCAGGGTGGGCAAGGGCCAGACGAGCGTCCAAAAGGAGCGGGACTTGTGGCGGCGAACACTGGAGAATACGATGCTCAATATCAAAAAAAAAAAACACCTCCCCAGACAACCCGGACAACCCCTCCAAGATGCATACCATAAGCGTCCCAGCATGTGATTGTCGCTGGCGCTCGAGCGGCAGCACAATACCCCTAAGGCGAGAGCACCACGCCTGATGATGAGGGATGTGGCCAGCGCGAAGGCGACAGCACCAATTCCAGTAGGTGGGAGGGGGGGGCTTCTTAGAAGCAGGGGTGCTTCTGAGAAACCTTCCCTCCTCCCCCATACACCCCTCTGCGCGTGGCCGAGACTTACGCGAGAAGACATAGCATAGCGCCCTTACGCCGCGGCTCACGCCTGCCGCCAGCATGACATACCGCGTGGAGAAGAGGGCGCTTGCGCGCGGCCTTGCGCGGGAGTCTCACGTGCGGGTGTCGGCGCTGACCACCCCGTTGTTTGTCCGTCGCTGACATGACTGCTCATGTTGGACATGAGTTGACAGCCCTCTGTCGCTAGATAGTTACTTATGAGCCACGTCTGCATCGCAGAGCGGGAGGGGGCTGGCAAAGGACAAGCCACCCCTTGACAAAAACCTTGCCACGATTTGTGGACGCCGCGATTGCCTCGGCGACCTCCCGAACCGACCCAGAGGGACCCAGAGGTGGAGTTCGGGATCGTATATCGAGCTCGCCTTTTAACGCCCATGCCCAGCCCCGCCCCCTCCCCCTCACACACCCCTCCCTGGTCACGTCACGATTTGCGCCAACGCCGCGTGGGAATCAGCGATTCCAAAGCATTCCCAGACGGCGCAGGCGCGAATCGTGACGTCACCATCCCCCCCTCCCACCCGGTCACGCCCGTTACCGCCAGAGGATAAATACCACTGTCTCAGATGGTGGGCTCAAGAAACCCTGAACCCAAAAACACATCTCTTGAGATGCTGATCTTCATTTCCGCTGGCTTCCGTCGGCCTTCCTCCAGCGGAGGCGGCTTCGTTTTACGTCCGCCAACTTCCGCCGCGCCTTCTGCCGAGGAAGTCGAAGGGAAGGCCCAATCTGCTTTCTGGAACGCATCAAATCACGCAACGAGCCTTCTTGGAGGGCTTCCAGACGCCAACCACGTGGTGCGGGACCCCCTCGAGGAAGAAGGACACCGTAGCGCGGAACTCCAGGATCGCACCGGACGCCCTCGCGTCGAGGTCCCACTGCAGCACGGAGAAGTTCGAGGGCAGGGCGCAGGGCTTGGAGGCCTCCTGCACGTACTCCTGCAGCAGCGAGATCGGGCCCCTGGCGCTCGGACTGCCCGAAAGGTCCGATGAGGCAGGGTTCTTATGAACTTGGGCAGCCAGCTCGGAAGGTTTCGAAGTGGCTCCCATGATGGGCACTCCCATGGCAGATCGGCAACGGAAGAGTCCCCGACAAAGTCCGTGCAACCTCGCAGCGAAGACTGCGCGTTGCTTGTGAGGTAACCTTATAACACCGACGCCGGCAAGAGGGTTGCGCCCGTGTCGGTGAGACGGGGCAGACTGACAGAGTAAGCCTTGGAGGCAGCCGGACGGTCTGAGCTGGTTTTCACGGGGTGAGCCAAAACCGCTCAGAATCGGTCCCTGGACTCCTCCCGGGGTCCATCTGGTGCGGTCTTTCACTGCGGATCCGTTTCTGCCGGTCCCGGGGTTCGAAAACGCCCCCTGGATGCCGAAACATGCGAAAAAATTCCCCGAACCCGGAATCTCGAAACTCTGGCCGCCCTTCCTGCTGGCCAGAACCTCAGACCACCAGCCGACTCCAAGCAAGGCCTGGCACCTGAGCCAAAACGGGACAGAGCGGGGTGAGCGAGACTGGGGCCAGCGCACGGCGGAGCACGGGCAAGCCCTCTCGCGGTGCACAGGTCTCGGCGAGCCTTCGGCATGTGCCTCAGGCGAGGCCAAGTGCACACGGAGTAAGCCCAGGTGGAGGCAGAGCACTCCGTGCGGCCGTACTCAGTACGGACTCAGCATCCCATCAGGTGAGGCTAAGTCAAAACGGACAAAGCCCAGGCGGAGATCGAACACTCCGCACGGACGTCCTCTTTACGGACTTGGTATCCTCTGAGTGTCGCAGACACGTGGCGCACGCGCCGTGCCGATCTCACCCATGTATCAGGGCGACGAGATCTGCACATGGCCACCGCCGCTGGCCAGGCCCATCCGGGGCCCCGGAGCGTACCCAGACATCCGGGGTCGCGATGTTTGATCCCAACATGCTCCCCAGCATTCTGGACCGCTTCCTGCAGACCGACGTTTCCTCCTGAGTCGTGTGGATTGCGGTCCCGGGGCCTGGTGAGGGCCCCCCGGTAAGAGGCAAAACAAAGCATGATCGACCCACGAACCCGGAAAGGGATTTATAGAAGTGCGAGGCCTGGGAACGTTCCAAGCACCTCAGTTGGGCGGTGGGCTTTGGCAATAAAAATACCAATGGTGATGCTACTGTGCCATGGAGCTGTGTTGTGCTTCTCTGCGCTGTGCCAGGGGACGCGCCACGAAACGTGCTAGTGGACGTGCCAGGGGACGCGCCACGCGATGTGCCAGAGGGACGCGCCACGGGACGCGCCTCGGAACGTGCCAGGGGGACGCGCCACGGAACGTGCCAGCGGACGTGCCAGGGGACGTGCCAGGGGACGGAGGCGCCAGAGAAAGTGCCAACAGGGAACGTGCCCGAGGGTCACGATCCCTCGAAAATTACACTGGGCAATGGCCGATGGGTAGTGGCAGGGTGAGATTACCGTGTCAGGGGCTGTGCTGTGCTGCGCTGCACTGTGCCGCACCGCACAATGACGTGCTAAAGGACGCACCACTGAACGTGCTGGGAGACGCGCCGCGCGATGTGTGCGACAATGCTGAAGGTATCCATCGTGATGTACAGTGCCAGAAGTTATGCTGTGCTGTGCCGTGCTGAAACAAGATGTGACATGCCGCGATGAATGTCGTTGTGCTCTGTAGTGTTGCGGATCAAGTCGCCCTTGGAATCCCGAATCCTGCCTGAACTGATCTGGATCTTAAGTTCGAGCTGCCTGAGCGAATGGCTGGCCCGGGTCTGGTTGCAATCGAAACGTGTTCGACGCTCAATCAGCTCAACTCAACATCCGATTCAGTTCCGAAGCGGGACGAGACGTCACGGGGCGCAGGGCGCATGGACGCGCCACGGGAAGTGCCAAGGACGCACTCAAGGATGCGCCAAGTGGTTTCACGCTTGTCCCGCGCTGGGGCGTTAGGAACCCACACGCGTCACGCTTGTCCCGCCCTGGGGTTTCAGGGGCCCACGTGTTTTTCGGGTTGTCCCGTTCTGGGCGTTAGGTACACATGCGTTTTCACGCTTGTCTCGCTCTGAGGCATTTGGAACACACATGGTTTCACGCCTGTCCCGCTCTGGAGCGTTAGGAACCCATGTGGTTTCACGCTTGTCCTGCTCTGCGGCGTCAGGAACCCACGTGGGTTCACGCGTATCCAGCTCAGGGGCGTTAGAAACCCTGTGCTTTCACGCGTGTCCCGTTCGGGGGCGTTCGGAACCCGTGTGTTTTCGCGCTTGTTCCGCTCTGGGATGCCAGAACCCAAAAGTGTTCAGGTTTGTCCCGGTCTGGGGCGTTAGGAGCCATGTGTTTTCACGCGTTACCCGTCTGGTGGCGTTGAGAACGCATGTGTTTTCTTGCTTGTCCCACTCTGGGGCGTTAGGGAACCATGCGTTCGCACGCTTGATTATCCCGATCTGGGGCGTTCGGAACTGTAATGCTTTCACGATTGCCCCACTCTGGGGTGTTCGGAAACCATTTGTTTTCACGCTTGTCCCCGCTCTGAGGTGCTGGCCAAGGCATCTATAGGAACACGCGTAAAACGCAAACGACTCGAGCTCCGGGAGAGGCGCAATCCGTTAGACAACACAATCAAATGGCTCGAGACATCCTCAACAAAGTCTGCAAACCAAGCGTTTCGCTCGAGACATCCAGAACAAACGAATCTGTTCACTTCATCCTGTGTACGATCGACCAGAATTTCAAAAACCAGCGCGTCGCTCGGTACATCCTCAAAATTCGATCCGCCGGCCCTCGTCGACTTCGTTATGTAGCGAAGAAAAAATCCGCTGGCCCTCCTCGAACTTGGCACTGGGGGCACGTTTACATACTAAAAGCAAGCCCTGGGCCCCCCCCGGGAAAAGAAGCCGTCCGGCACTCCCTTTTTCGTGACGCGAGGGTGTCAGGGTACGCCCCTCCTGGCTTGACCAGGCAGGCTTACTCTTTGGCGGCGTGCACAAGGGGGTAGGGGGAGGGGGGAAGGACTCTGAGAAGGAGGCTGCTTCTTAAAAGGCGCCAGCCTTATCTATCCCGCGCCCTCCAAGAAGCAAGGGTGCTTCAAAAAAGCCTTCCCCCCTCCCCCACACCTCCCCCCTGCGCGCGGCCGAGCTGATGTACCAATCCTGGCCCAGGATGCACGTGGCCAGTAGCGGTGAACACGTGCAGACCTCGTCGCCAGAGGCAGCCCGGCCTCCCGCAGGTCGTCCGACCCCGCGCCTCGCGCTGCCGTGGGGCGCCGCTGCCCTCGAGACCTCTCGCGAGGCGGCCCCCGAGGGTAGAGGAAGCAAATCCTGCATAAGCATATAAGCTTCCGGAGCTCCGCGAGGACTTCTTGGATCTCATTCGCCTGCCACTGGGGGGCAGACTTCTGGGGTCAGAGTCTACGAAACGCAAGCTGAGGAACAATGATTTCTCATGAACTACTTGCCTGGGCGAAGAACGTCGAATAATGTCCAGGAAGAAAAACCATTTGGACCAAATCAAACCCCGAACAGCGCAAATCCAAGGAATTGAGCTCACCTTTTCCTGACCCCCCCAAGGACAGGCGAGGGAGGATCGGCGCTGAGCCCCTCTGGCGGCGCCTCCAGCGACGCCCCTGGCGAGCGCCGCGCGCCATGGGTGGGGGTTCCAAAGCAGATCTAAGAAATCCGCGCGGGCCTCCGACAGCTTCTGTCCACGCACTTGTTACTTTACTGTTCGAGGAGGGGGGAGCCCCTGCAGCACGCTGACCGCGTCCCGGGCCACGCGAGGGCGGAGCGCTGAAGAGGCATCCGGCCAGATTGATATCCCGCTCTCGCCTTGTATAGGCTGGTCACGCCAGACGTATCCAGCTTCCTTGTCACACACACACACACACACCACATGCGGGAGATCCAGATTTCGTGTCTGGCTTCGTCAGGGAGCGGGGGGGGAACGACACTATTCCCACCGTCGCGACAAGCCAGGGAGGGAACTCCTGGAGTCCTGGTGGTGTGGTCCCCGCGTTTCGTGGCGCCCCGCCCAGGACATCCCCAATCCCCAGCTCGGGGAGCACATCGCGGACTCCCTCGCTTGAGTTGGCCTGCTGGTGGTGGTGTCGCTTCCCAGGCATGCGACGTCCTGATTTGCCCAACACGCGGTCCTCGGAAGTCCTGACCCCTTCCCCCGGGCCAGTTTTCATCATGATTCGTTGTTTGGCGATCCCAGGCGAGGGCCCCCAGAGGCCGAGAATGGCAAAACCTCTGTCATGATTGTTTCACGACGCGATCATGCCTGGGTTCTCCTCCCTCTGATCTGTGAAGTCTCCGATCAGGGTCGTCGGCGCCGCATGGGACGGCTCCCCGAAGGGCCCACACTGGGCCCTGGTGGAACACAGCAGGGCCTCGGGGGGGCGGCGTTTTTTGGCCCGAGCCCCTCCTCCTGTATACTCTGTCCTCCTCCGCCCTTCTCTTCTTCATTTGACATGAAGGATGCAAGCCCCGAGACCTGAGATAAAGGGCCCCGGACCCCAGAGGCGCTTCCCAAGACCAGCTTTTCATCCTGAGTCGGGGCCTGGTGAGGACCTCGGGAGCCCAGAAACGAGGAAAGCCTCAAGGGCCTCTCTCCCTCAGGACCTCTCCCTCACAACGAAAAATACACAACTTTTCTCAGGAACCCTGCTGCTCCTCATCCTTCATGTCGCCCTGACGGGTGTACTCCGTAAGCGGAGACACTGATCGAGGCTCCCCCGCGCAGTCCTGCCACTCGCCTGCCACCTTCCTGCGCGCTGCCGAAGCACCTGTTGCTGGGTACGTGCCCGTTTCCGTGGCGCTGACGCCCCCTCCTCCACTGCTCGGCGGCGCGCCCAGGGGAAATGAAGCGAGAAGGGGCAGGCCTTCCCCGAAGGCAAGGCGGCTGGGCTTCTCAGAGGGGTCCACGGCGTGCTGAGAAGCCGTCCCTGTCTTCGGAAAAAAACAGGGCTCAGCAGAATCCGCAGAAGGCTGGGTGCTTCCAAGCCTGCCGAGAAGGCCCGCCCGCTCTGCCTTCCCCTTGGGCTCGCCGCCGAGTTGCCGCCAGAACAATGGATGCCACTGG